TGCCTTCTGCGTGGGTGGTGTCAGCCAGCGGCTGCGGCCGGCACTGCGGACTGACTGCTGGGCCTGGAAATAGTTCAGGGCCCCCAGTGCTTAGGAGCAGCCCGCTGCCCCCCGCGGAGGGGAGGGGAGAGGCCAGAGCAGGCCCAGACTCGAGGGAGGCCATCTGTGTTGATCCCCGCAGAACCGATGGCTACATCGTCTGCGAGGAATATAAAGACGTGCTCCTGGCCGCCTGGGAGAACGAGCAGGCGCTCATTGAGAAGAAGGAGAAGGAGGTGAGCGGGCGGGGCCTGGGCGGGGCCTGGGTGGGGCGGCAGACAGGTGGGGAGCCCACACAGCGGAGCTGGTGTTCCCTCCAGCCTCCCTCACACCACGTGTAAGAGGAGGGGAGAGCCCGGGTTCAGCTCTCTTTCTGGCTCTTTCTTCCTGGGAGGCACCGGGGAGCCAGCACTGAGCAACGACCTGCCTGCCCCTCAGAACCCTGTCTCTGTCCACTGTCTGCCTGGATCCGGGCTCCGGGGCCCGCTACCCCTGCTGCCGACCCCCGCCTCTGTTAAAGGGCGGGGGACCTGTGGTCCAGGTCCCGGACCCCCTCCTCCACTAAACACTTTAGAGTTGGTAAAATTAAGAAGAGGTTTTTGGTTTTGGTGCCTTTCATGTGCAGCACTTTATGAATCCCACCTGGTATGGTTGAGAAACTATTTTAATCTGAAGCGTTACCTGTATCTTTATGTTCCGGAAACGGCAGCACACAGTGTTTTCCATTCTGTTTGATTTTGCAGAAGAGGGAGAAGCGGGCTCTGGGGAACTGGAAGCTGCTGGTCAAAGGGCTGCTCATCCGGGAGCGGCTGAGGCTTCGCTACGGGGCTCAGGTCAGGGTGGTCCTTGGAGGACACGCCAGGTTTGGGGGGCGGGTAGGGAACCAGGGGCCGATTCTGCTCAGAGATCAAGTCAGCTCTGTTCTGGTGCCACAGACCTGTGTCTCCCAGGCCCTGTGTCCCGTTCACGTTCAGAAAGGTGTCCAAGGTGTCCTGGAGTCAGGCTTTGGCTGCTCTGCCAGCCCCGCCCTGTCTGCACGAGAGGGTGCCTGCTATGGGTTGGATCTGGTGCTGAGCCCACTCGGGGTGGGGGGTGGGGGGGACAGGTGTCTGCATCTCCTGGCCTTGTGCTGCCCCTGGGGCTGTGACCACCCCCCCACCCCCCAGGCCCACAGGTGCTCATTCAGGCCCCTCTGCGGGCTCCCATGGGGGGCACAGAGGCCCCCGGACACAGTCACGTGGAGCGGTCAGAGACGCACAGACACGCTCTGGGGGCAGTTGCGACCCCACGCCCGGCTCCCCCTGCCCTCCGCAGCCCGTCCTCGCAGCAGCGGGCACTGAGCGCTGGTGCTGTGCATTCGTGCACCTGTTCTGTTCAGAAACGAGGAAGAAAACGCAGTTACCTCCTGGATTGCTCGTAGCTCCTCGAGGGCAGTTTTGTGTCCCCAGCCCTGTGTGCACAGCAAGCGCTCTAGGACCTGCTGGGCTGAGCCCTGTCCTCCGGGTCACGGCTCGGCGCTGCCGGGGCGTCGCTGCCTCTTGACGCAGTTTCCTCCACTGTCCCCCCCCGCAGAGTGAGGAAGCCGCTCCCCACGCAGACGCAGGAGGAGGACTCTCTTCAGACGAGGAGGAGGGGACCAGCTCTCCAGCGGAAGTGGCCAGGATCCTGGCGGCCTCCTGGCCCCAAAACCGCGAGGTAGAGGAGAAGCGGAAGTGCCCCCGGAAGAGCAGGAGGGAGGAGGCGGCGGCAGCTTCCCACCTGTTCCCGTTTGAGAAGCTGTGATGTGAGTGGTCACCTCCTCGGTGGCTCAGCCGTGCCCCAGACCTTGCTCCCGGGTAGATCCCTCCTGTGTCCGACACTCGTGCTGTTGCAGACTCGGGCCCCTTCTGTGCAGGCCCCTCGTTGCCCTCACTCAGGTCCCCGACGCTGCCTGACGCTGTGCGGGGAGAGCAGGTCAGTGCAGGCCGTCTCAGGGTGACATGGCTGGACCTACTTTCCCAGGTAACACTTCGTGGTGGCAGAAGACTAGAACAAAGAGCTAAAGTCAGGAAAGGAAAGGACAAACGATGAGATTTAAAGAAATGTCAGGAAGAGTGGATCAGTGTTAAACTAGATTTTATTCATTACTGGATACATTTATAAAGCCCTGTGCGCTGTAGATATTTAGGAGAAATAACTTTTATAACATTTTGAGGAAAAAAATAAAGCATTTCTCTAGAAAGACGTGACTGTACGTTTTCTTTCAGATTTTACATCAGATGAGAACACTTGGATGACAGTGATTTGTATACAGGTCGTGACTACATTAAAGATGAGATCTTGCTTTCCCGCAGCCTGGGAACTTAGCATTACACACATGGAATTTTTTTCTTTCTGTTTAATCCAGGAGATATGATTTAATCTTTGACAGGAGCCATTAAAAATTTGAGTCAGTTTTATCCAAGGGAAACAAAACACTTGGGGTGTGACTCATGCCGCAGGAACTGGCAGGCAGGCTCCTGTTGTGAAACACGTGGGGGTTGCCATGGAAACCGCGGGGTCTGGCACTGTGCACCGGAGCTGGCTCTCACCCTCCTGGAAGTGAGCACCTTGTTTTCTGGGAGTTGAGTCAAGAGCGCTGCCCTGTCTCTGCAGGAATAACTAGTTCTCTAGGCAGATGGCAGCTCCTAGGATGCATCTTGGAAACAGAGTGAAACCTCAGGTTTTGAAAAGTTACCACTCACCTGCTACAAATCCTATAACAAGGGGAGAGAAGTTCAAATTGCAGGGTGGACGCTTCGCGGCCGCCCACTGCTTCAGGTGCTCGTGGGCTTTATCTCACTCCATAGAGAGGCACTGGCCCCGTGCCACAGATGAAGCTGAGGCCCAGGTCACTGCCATGCCTAGCGCCACACCGCTCGTCAGCGGCAAACGCGGGATGCCTTTTGTGCCGGGTCCCGCCGGCTCCCTCCCACCTCTGAGAACGATCTGAAGACTGGCAAAGGTGGGAGCCGCTCTTAAGTCCACACAAACCAGAGTAGGTTTCTAAGTGCTAGAGATATTGGGGTGCCTTCTCAAAAAAATTGAAAACAATTTTAACCACCGAAAGCAATTTAGAACCTAAGTTCCAAAAATTCATGTTCTTTGGCTGAATGCTTTGGCTGAATAAATTCTATGGCTGAATTCTTTCTTTCAGACAGAAATTTCAGACAATGCAAAAAGAAAAGGGATAATGGCAAGTTCCTGTATCAAAAGATATTTAGAAATTTATTTTGAATTTTTATCAAAAATACAAAGATAATACAAGTTTCGTCATGATTTCCCGAAGGCTTGAAATATTTCTTAACATGATTTTGGTCTTTAAGAACACTTGAAATTGGCAGTAATTTAAAATCTGTACAAGAAAAATATTACACAAACCAAATATCAAGGATTTTGTATTTAGCCATCATCTCGTCACTGTGCTTTCCACAAGCATCTTTAAGAGTTGAGAGATCGAAGAAACTGTTCATTTAACAAGCAACAGTGAACACTATTTCAGTCCTTAAACCCAGATAACTCATCGCTGGGGCTGGCTGTTGTGAACATGAAAAATCTCAGTTTATACCACAAATGCCCCAGGACAACGAGAGAGGTTATTAGCTCTTGAGTTTCAGACGTTCTGAGCCCTATTCCGCTACCAAATACTCCACTAAAGCAGCCACTCCCAGCAAAACAACAATTTCCAAATGGTTAAAAGATAAAGGACACACAAGTCTTTTAAGACATCAGTGTTACAACATACTTGATCTTTCAAAGGGTGCTGAGAGTAGCTGGGAAACTTCAACTCTGTGAATTAAATAAGCATGGGTAGATTTGATTTAGGAATAAAGCTGTGGACACTGAACACATAAATCACCCAGAAGCAGCCACTTGAGGCCCAGATGCTAATGTCAGAAGCACACCTGTGATGAACAGAGCCAGGCCAGAGAGCTTTCAAATCTGCAGCCTCTGACGCCTGATTTTGGTTGGTGGGTGGGGTGTCACCACGAAGGAGCCCACTTAGGATAACTGACTAAAAACTCAAAATCATCTTCAAGAAAGTCTGGGTTTTGATGCCAGAGGATGAAAGGAAATGCCTTTCTCTCCCGGATGGAGACGCCCATCTCCTCCCAGAGGGAAAACGAGCCTTTTGCTAACACTGGTTTCAAAGCACCTGAAGCTTTGAAAAGCTTCTCAGGGACCCAGAATACCGACAGGTAACTTTCTCAACCAGGTAAGTAACAGCCCCACTGAACTTTCTGTGCTCTGAACTACCTTCAACTGACAGATGAAAGGGGTTTTTTCTGTAACAGACTGAGACGTGAATCATTCCAGAGGTGTTTGTTTTCTAGATCTGACTTGAAACCGCCCCCTCTTAGGGCAGGTCGGGGAGCTATGTGCAGAGAAATGAAGGGGCAAGAAACAACCAGGCCTGTGGGGGTCCTACACACCACGAAGATTCTGCCAAATGGTAATGTGCGTGCAAAGCCCAACAAACGTCCACCTTCCTCATCACCACACCCCCTGGTTCTCTTAAGTACCGAATCAAGCTCCGTGCGCAGAGTGGGTATGTGGCGTCCCTGCCGCCCTGTCCTGGGAGGCGGGCACAGCGGTGGCTGTGGTGGAGCCTGACACCATCCCCAGGTCTGAGTGTCACCACCGCGGCAGACATCAGCTAAGTGAAACACGCGAGTGGCCGCACGGCCCCAAGAGAAGGAAACAAGCAGGAGGGCGCGTGTCACGCTGCCGGACAGGAGCTGCCTCCTGCCACCAAAGCTGCCCGCTGGCAAGAAGGGGTGCGAAGTGCTAACTGATGGACGCCAACCCGACACCCATGCACACTGCCAAGGCTGCCACCTGAGTGGGGCACGTGCGGAATCCAAGACCGACGTGGGTTTGGGGGAGGGGATGACCTGGGTCCCGAGGCACAGGCAGTGTCCAGTGGGTGCCGGAGCCCCGGCTCACTCCAGCTTTTTGGCCGGTACCCGTGTTCGAGCAACGATGATGGGCACCAGGGCCAGGCAGCTGATGACAAGCGCCCACAGGGGCCGGTAGAAAAGCCAGCCAGCGGCCACAGTCAGCAAGGTCAGCGAGGTGGCCACGCAGAAGGCAAAGGCCTTCAGGCCAATGTTGACCAGGTCTCGGAAGATGGGGAACCAGTCCACTGTGGGGAAGAGAGAGGTAGTGAGGCTTCCCAGGCCCCCGTGCTCTGCTGTTCTCCCCGCCCCCACCAGCCAGCAGCCTGCCTGTCTCTGGACCAGGTGGGGAGGAAGAGGAAGTGGTGGGGGGGCATGTGGCCTGAGGGAGCTGGGAGGTCACACAAGGAGGAGCCCTGCTCCCGACTGCAGCCCGTCCCGGCCCCAGCGAGGGCGCGTGGTCGTGCTCTGAGCCCTCGTGTGCTGAGGGCAGAACAGAGACTCTCCGGGGATGGTGGCGAGCACCTGGCTGCTGCCCCTCGCAAAGCAGGCTGGGCCAAACCCCCTGGGGGGCTTATCTGGGCCCCTCAGCCCTTCCTGGAGGGGCCTATTCAGTCACCCAAGCCGTTACCAGTTACCTGTGTACCCAGCTCCATGGAGGGGCTGAGGGGACTCAACAGGCCCGAGCCGCCCACCTCGAGGACCCTGCAGTCTACTGCCCAACATGATACAGTCTCGGATCCGTCACCCCTTGTGAAATTACCCGTCCTTGGCCTCCTGGCCTCTGCAGGCAGGCGTTCCATAGCCATCATCCACTGGGGGGATCTGCACTCAGTTCCCATGGGCCAGGGGTCTGGTGCCGCTGGGTCTGCACGGCCGGCCCCGGTGTCTGCCACGACGGCAGGGCCCCCACAAGCACGTGTCACGTTTGGGCACTGACCGTGGGACCATGTGTCGCACCATACCACGCCCACCCTGTAAGGCCGGTACTGATCTTTTTTTTTAAACATTTCTTTTTCTTTTTTAATTAATTTTTGGCTGCACTGGGTCTTCGTTGCTGTGCACAGGCTTTCTCTAGTTGCGGCGAGCGGGGGCTACTCTTCGTTGCAGTGTGTGGGCTTCGCGGGGGCTACTCTTCGTTGCAGTGCACGGGCTTTGCGGGCTTCTCACTGCGGTGGCTGCTCTTGTTGTGGAGCACGGGCTCTAGGCACACAGGCTTCAATAGTTGTGGCACGCGGGCTCAGCAGCTGTGGCACATGGGCTCTAGAGCGCAGGCTCGGTAGTTGTGGCGCACGGACTTAGTTGCTCCGCAGCATAGGCCGGTACTGCTCTTAACCTCAGTTCACCCACAAGATCACTGAGGCATGGGAGTTAAACTTACAGCTAGAAGGTGGCATAACCAGGATTTAAACTTAAGACTGAGTGGGACTTCCCTGGTGGCGCAGCAGTTCAGAATCCGCCTGCCAATGCAAGGGACAAGGGTTTGAGCCCTGGTCCAGGAAGATCCCACATGCCGCGGAGCAACTAAGCCCGTGCGCCACAACTACTGAGCCTGCGCTCTAGAGTCCGTGAGCCACAACTACTGAGCTCGCATGCCACAACTACTGAAGCCTGTGCACCTAGAGCCTGTGCTCTGCAACAAGAGGAGCCACCGCAATGAGAAGCCCGTGCACTGCAGTGAAGAGTAGCCCCCGCCTGCAGCAACTAGAGAAAGCCTGTGCACAGCAACGAAGACCCAATGCAGCCAAAAAAAAAAAAAAGACTGTCTGAGTGCAGAGCCTCATGTCTTAGACTCTGCGCTAAGCCCAGAGAGGACAGCGACCTTGTCCGTACTGTTGGCTGCGTGGCCTGTGGGGCCCGGAGCAGCGTCCTCCGCACAGCAGGCACTCGGAAGGTGCTCATCACAGGAGTGGAGGTGTGAATGGGTGCCCTGCGCTGCTCAGCTTCCTGAGTCCCTCCCCTGCACTGTCTCTCTGTGCTTTCATGTCTGTTCTGACTCTGGAGGATCAGCCTTCCAGTATGGAGAGAACCAGTCGGAGAGTCAAAGGAGGGCCCTATGAGATAAACTTGATGATGGTGGAACTGGGCCCTGAGAGGGAAACAGCCTGTCCAAGGTCACAGCCACGATGGACTTAGCGATTGTGCCCAGGACACGGCTGCCTTTCTGAGCACAGTTCAGCTGTGTCCAAGGGAAGCAGCCTTCCTTTCTCTTCACCTCAGTTTTCCCAGCTATAAAATGATCTGACAGTCTGCGTGTACTGCAGCCAGACTCTCCCCAGCTGGAGAGGGTAAGCGGGGGACGCGTTTCCGGGCCCAGAGACGGTGGACAGAACCATCTCACTGGATGGGGCATCCCCAGAGAAGCCCCATCCTCCCGGAGAGCGGCCAAGGCCCAGCACTCAGTCACCCCGGGCACTTGGTCCTCCTGAGCCAGTCTGGGCTGCTCGGGCAGGTCTGGGGCTCAAGCGGGCCAAACTCGGGCCATGGGCAGCCTGGCACGCTCTCCCTTGCGCTCCAGACTTGCCAGCGGCCGTGCCAAGTCCAGCCCAGGATTTGGGGTGGGGGTGAAGCATAACAGTTCCTGAGTGTTTCCTATTTGCCAAACATTTCACAGAACTCTGCAAATTAGGTGTGAGGAAACCGAAGCCAGGCCAGGAAAGGAATCCAGAGCTCTGTTCAGGCCTGGCACGGGCCGGCCAGCCTCCTCAGCACAGCTATTTGGTTGTGTGATGAAGGGGTGAAGGGCTGAGGGGATGGGCGGGTGGACGGAGCGGGGAAACCCACAGCCTCAGGAGTCAGCATCCGCCCGGTCTTACCCTGGAAGCACCCTGACCCGCATCCTGCTTCCCCTGCTCTCTCGTCCCAAAGCCTTGGGGGCACAGGATGGGCTGAGTGCCCCCCACCAGGCTGGAAGGGAGAGCAGCGGTGGGAGAGGCCAAGGAGGCCCTGTCTCTCCCCACCTACCCAGAGTGTAGAGAATCCGCGTCATGAGGTTGAGGCCCACAAACATGGCTACCCAGCCGGCCGCCCGCAGGCCCCACGTCTTCATGGAGTTGCTCTTCTGTTCCCGACGAAACACCTCCTAGAGGACAAGCGGGGAGAGGGCATCACGTCTCAGCTCCGGGGGGTCACCAGCCTACCCAGTCGGCAGGGCCAGAGCCGAGGGGCCCGGGCTGACCCAGGAGCCACTGCGTTTCTGGACAGACCAGAGGGAGGACAGGGCACTACCCAGGCCTACGTGCCTCGCCCACCTGGCAGCACAGAGCAGGCAGGTTTGGGCCCTCAGATCACAGCCCACCTCCTCCAAGAGCCGCCAGCCCACCGAGGGTCATCGAATAAACCTGACCCTCCTGTCGCAGCAGCGCCTGCCAGGGGTCATCTGTCCCCATGCGGCGTCAAGCCACGAGCCCCAGCACTCTGGGGGGCAGCTCTGAGACCAGGGCCCCACCTGCGGGAGGCTGGAGCCCCGGGACAGAGGCCTGGGCTGGGCCTCCTAATTCTAGAAACTCCCTGGGGCCCTGAAAGCTGCCTGAGAAAGGGTGACTCACAGTCACCAGGCTGGGAGGGGCCAGCCCTGCCTGGAGGTTGGTAACTGGCTACTGGGCCGCAGCCTGACCACACCCTCATCCCAAGCTCAAGAAGAAGGCACAGCCCAGCGCCTCCTGGACGGGGCCGAAGGGAGGGGACGACAGCTGAAGGCCCAATAAGCGGGTCAAAAGGTCACAGCTAAGCCCTGCCGCCTGCCCCACTACCTTAACCTTCCAAACGCTTATGGGTTGAGAGCAGGTTCAGAACAGCTCTCCTCGGATACGCTGTGCTCATCAACAACATACAAGCACATTTTCTGCTAAAGGGAAGGACTTCCTGCCTGGAGAGGAGAGGCTAACTTCTAAGGCAGGCACTGAACTAATGGCACATCTTTGCACCCCTTCTCCTCGGGGCTTGGGTGAGGCGTGACCCCGTTTTTACGGATGGGGTGGGTGCCCTGGTCTCTCTGGAAGCGCCCGCCCTCACTCACCTGGTCCTGGGGCCGCGCAGCTCAACCCCTTCACCCCAGCTCACACAGCCTTCACGGGCCTCTGCCCGCCCCTCCTTGGGTAGGGTCACCCGGCGTCCTGGCCCCGACAAGGAGGGCCCTGGCCTGCTAGCCCAACTGGCTGGCCCCTTCTCTCCACTTGGGACTCAGCAGAAACGTCCCCGGCTGCCCGCTGCCACAGGAGGTTGCTGTCTCCATGTCTGTGAGCTCAGCGTCTGCCCCTCACACCAGGCTGCAGGGACTGTGCCCATTGCTCCCCATTTCGGGGACGTGGGCTGCACACACAGGAAGACCTAACCCCTTCTACAGCTTTCTCTCGCCTCGGGGCCTGGGTCTGCCTCCGTGGTGGCAGTCTGTGACATGCCACTGGAGGGCAGAGCACAGGTGCACAGTGGCCACTCACCTCTGCTGAGATGTCCCCGTGGTGCAGGAGCAGCAAGGTGTCCCCGGACTTGGTCGAGTACGGGACCAGCTGGTCACCCCGCTGCCGGGCAATCACGGTGACCTGGTCAGAGAATTCAGGCTTAGAGCTGCGGGGCCACCACCCGCGGGCCTAGCTCCCTTCCTCACCATGTGCCAACGAGGCAGCGAGCGGGAACACCACGCCACCCTGAGCCTCTGCCTCCACGTCGGCCCAGGGGACAGCAGCTCCCGCTTTGCTGCTCCGTCTGAAGCTCCAGGGAGGAGCCCGGGCAGAAGCGCGTGTCAGGGCTGAGCAGGGGCTGGGGCCGGGGTGACGGGGTCAGGAACGCAGGACTGACTCTCTATAGAGCAGAAGCCGGGGCTGGGGGCAGAGGGACTGCACGTGATTCAAACAACCTCATCGGGCCCAGCTGCGAGACTCCCAGCACAGCGCCCTCAGCCTGGGGCCCATGGATGTGCACAGGGCACGTGTGCACACAGTGGAGGGGGGGGGGGGGGCGCCAATTCAGGCTTAGAGCTGCGGGGCCACCACCCGCGGGCCTAGCTCCCTTCCTCACCATGTGCCAACGAGGCAGCGAGCGGGAACACCACGCCACCCTGAGCCTCTGCCTCCACGTCGGCCCAGGGGACAGCAGCTCCCGCTTTGCTGCTCCGTCTGAAGCTCCAGGGAGGAGCCCGGGCAGAAGCGCGTGTCAGGGCTGAGCAGGGGCTGGGGCCGGGGTGACGGGGTCAGGAACGCAGGACTGACTCTCTATAGAGCAGAAGCCGGGGCTGGGGGCAGAGGGACTGCACGTGATTCAAACAACCTCATCGGGCCCAGCTGCGAGACTCCCAGCACAGCGCCCTCAGCCTGGGGCCCATGGATGTGCACAGGGCACGTGTGCACACAGGGGGGGGGGGGGGGGGCGCCCATAGCCTTTGCTTGGGCCCCAGCGTCTGCTCCCAAGAAGGCCCCCCTGAGTCGGCCCGGGGAGCTGATTACCACGTGAGCTGGGCCCAGGTCGGGGTCATTGCCGCTCAGCCCTGCGTAGGAAAACGAGACACGCAGGTCTCCGACCTGGGGTGGAAGAGAAGCAAGTGAGGGAGGTGGGAGCTGTCAGCTAGGCCCACAGCGCGCCCCACTCCCATGACCTCTGCCCTTGCCCAGGTGGCCCCGTCACCCAGAAAGCCTCTCCCCTCCAATTTCCCTGGCCGGGTGTAGCTGTGATTCACCGGAACCAGACCAGACTCTGAAGCTGGGCTCTGAGTCCCGCGCACTGTCGGGGGCAGGACTCTGGGGCCCTGACCTCTGCCATCTGAGCGCCCGAGCCCGCTGGGTACCTCGGGGTACTTGGGGTTTTCACTGTGGTAGAAATAGTCCCCCCGGCGAATGATATCCACGTGTGGGTCCTCCAGCTTGGACAGGCTCAGTGGCTTAAAGTTGTCCACTTTGTCGATGAGGCCTGAGAGAGGCGGGCGGTTAGAAACGGTGCTGAGTCCACTGCAGCTCCTGGCTGCAGACCCTCAGCCTGACAGCCTTTCTAAGCACCCTCACAAGCCCAGCCATGCGGCCACCCCCTGGCTCGCCCCTTGGGGACCCCACACACCCGGGGCATCCACACACGCTGTCTCCCACCCGGAGCCCTCCTCCAACTCCATTCTTCCGCAATGCCAGCCCCCTTCAGTCTTCAGCTTCTCCAGGAAGCCTTCCCTGTCCCCTCTTCCCCATCAGTCAGAGTGACCACAGCTCTTCAAGGGCCTTAGCCTGGCAGCCACTCCACCTTGGGTCTGGTCATCTGTGTCCAGGCCTGGCTTCCCTGCTGCAGCAACAGCATGAGGCTGGGGCTGGCTGGCACGGCTGGCACCAGCTGAGCACCAGAGCAGACAGCAGACAAGCCAGGCCCTGGCTCATGCAGTCTCTCCCCCGTCCCCCTGGCTATCTGCCACCTAAGTGTCTTCTCTCCCTCCTTCCTGGGTCAGGCCCAGGGACTGGGACCCAGGGACAGAGCCCCAGGACTTTCTGCGGCCAGTGGTGCCACCCTGTCCCTTGCAAGCCTCTCTTTAGAGTCCCTTCGGGGCCTGTGATGAACCAGACACCCCGGGCAACAGGGCTGGGTGACAGTGGGGCTCAGAAGTGGAGTCTTGGGGCCTTGTCTGCGCTGCCGGCTCCAGGGCTGCCAAGGAAGGGCTCTCAGCCTGATAAGGACGCAGCACCTGGCAGCTGCTCCCTGGTATGGGTTTCAGGAGGGCTTCTACATGGTTCCCTACCTCCTGGGGACACACCTGCCCTCTGGCCTCGGCCCAAAGTATGATGCTGGAAAAGTCCTGGTTGACCCCATGCCCAGGACAGCAGGGGACCCCTTTAAGCATCTGAGGGCTGAGTGCTAGGGTCCCGGCTCCTGGGAGGCAGCCAGATGGAAGTGCAGGGCCCCGGGTCGATGCTGGCTCATCTGAAGGGGCCTGAGACTCACCCGCGGAGAGAAAAAACCTGCCGATTTGGACGAAGGGGGCTGTAGCGGTGAATGACTCCACGGCCATCGCACTGTGGGAGAGGGGGAGCTGCTGATGAAGGAGGGTGCTGGGCAGGCGTTGCTTGGGTCCCTGTGGGTTGTGCTGGGCAGGGTCCCAACCCAGAGGGCTCCTGCACGTCCAGCCCAGCCCCACAGTCTGGTCTTTCCCCCACTGCCTCGGCCTCTGCCCGGAAGGAGCAGCCTCCTCTGGCCTCCTGTCCCCCAGAGCTTCCTACCCTCTTGCCTGGACCCCTGCCAGCATGTCCCATCCTGCCCCACAGCCTTCAGATGGCCCTTCCACGGACTTCACACCCTCCTGACCCTTCCCAGCCCGGCTAACACCCAAACCCCACTGTGCACATTCAAGGCCCTCCGTGGCCCAGCCCAGCGTCACGCCTGTCTCGCCACCCCCATCCTGCCCCTGAGCTAACCTTCCTCTGCCGGAACCCCCGCAGGGCCAGGTCAAACGCTGCTGCCTCCTGAAAGCCCCTGCTGACTGTCCTCCCACCCACGCCAACCGCTGGCGACCCCTCCAGGCACTCAGTTCAGCCTTACACCCGTGACCTGTTTGAGGGGAGGTCGCCTGGGGCCAGGGGTGTCAGGTCTCGCCTCTGTTCCTGGTGCCCAGCACAGGACCTGGCCTAGGAAACCTGTCCCACATTTTCATCAGCTCACAAGACAGAAGCAACTCAATTCCATTACTCAGATGAGGAAGCTGAGGCTGGGCACCTGCTAGTGGCCGACAAGGCTACGCTCAGGCCTGGGGACCCAGCTCTCACCTGGGGTTTTTGTGGCCAATCTCTCGGTCAAAGTTTCTGCTGTTGACGATTTCCGACCTCCATTCAGTGTCTGTTTCAGGCAGAGGGAACAACGCAGAAACCACGGTAAACCTCAGGTTTGAGGCCCACTGGCCGCAAGTTCTCTTATCCAAGCCTGCGACCACTCGGGAGCCAAAGGGGCGACTACTGGAGCCTCGCTGGATGGATGGGAAAGCAGGGCTCTGAGGACCAGCACCCAAGGAGCCTGATGCTTGGTGAGGACAGAGCCCAAAGGTGTGCAGGGAGGTGCCCTGTCCGCCCGCAGGCCCGGGGCCCGGTACTCACTGTAGGAGTACCTCCTCTCTGTCTTCACCTGCCCGTCCTCGGTGTACTCCCTGCAAGAAAAGCACAGGCAGCACCACAGTCAGCCCATCATTCCCGAGGCATCCCCATCTCTAAGCATCTCCGGCTGGAAGCAACCTCGGGGCTCCCACGTCAGACTCCCCAGATGGAGCAGGCTTGGTCCACACCAGCCCAGAAACAGGGTGCTCCCTGGCAAACAGCCAGCTTCAGGCCTCAAAGGCACTCACTAGAGAAAAGAGCTTTCTCATCCTGAGCTGAAACCGGCCTCCCCTAGCTTGTGTCCCAGCCCTGCCCTGTGGGCTCAGCAATCTGCCTGCACCCTCTACTCTGCAACAGCTCTGTGGAGGCCCCTGAGGCTGCCCTGCCCCAGACTGAGCCACCTGGGCTCCCCGAGTCCCCTCTCCACCCTCACTCTTAGTACGTGTGGTCGATGACAGCCTGCCTGGGGCTCCTGTTAGATCCAATAGCACATGACCCAGGACCCCACCCCCCCCACCCCCGATGCCCTGCACACCATGGAAGAGAAGACGGGACACAACTTGGCACAGGTCCGTCTGAGCCTGAGCTGGGGCAGCCCCAGACAACTTCCCCGGAAGGGAGCTAACCAAGCCTGCTTTCTCCTCTGAGCCCCTCTGCAAGAGATTCCTGCCACCTCCAAACCATCAGCCAGTAATTGGGGGATAATTCGACATTTCCCTGATAGGAAGATTTTATACTTTAAATTTCAGAAGTGTCAAAGTGAGCGCCACCTGCACATCACCCTAATCCCCGCGCGTCCTTCAGCCCCAGCCAACTCTTCACCCGCCGGCCCCTCACCTGGACTCCTCGGTTTCCACCCATTGGTACATCTCCACGTGCCGCCGCAGCTTCACAGCCGGGAGGTGGACCCCGTAGTTTGGATCAGACAAGAGCTTCAGATAGAATCAAACAAGAAAAATAAAGGACAAGAATGCCCGGCTCGGGGGAAGCTGGGCTGGAGGAGAAACAGGTCCAGAAGACAGAAGAGCACAGAGAACTCCGCGGCTGCTCGCATGGGGAGACGAGGGAAGCTGCCCGTCCCGAGTGCTGAACCTGCAAGCCTGTGACGCGAGCCGCGCGCACAGCTCAGGCTGCTCGGCCCAAGGGCGCGGTGCCCACACAGCGTGTTGGGTGTTCAGACAGAAGACCTGGCACCAGACACACAAATCCATCATCACTGTTAAAGCGCCTCTTTGTGAGGCTCTTGCCTCGGGCCAGAGACTGTGCCAGGAGGGTAGCTACTGAATCCTGCCCAATCTTCAGAACCGGGCCCTGGTCTGTTACAATTATTCTCCCCATTTGACAGAGGAAGACACTGAGACTCAGGAAAGATGGGTCCACACGGCTGCTGAGAGATACAGCAGGAGTCACACCAAGTGTCCCCGTCTCCAAGGCCCACGCTTTCAAATCCTCCATCAGACAATATCCTGCGATGTGTCCCGGCCTCCCCGGGTCAGCAACCACCGCCAAGCCTACCTTAGATGTCCGCAAGGCGCCAGGGATGTGCACCAGCCTCCCCTCATTCTCCGGAGCCACACTGTGGATGCTGTCAGGGGTCACCACCAGCGAGAGTCCCTCAGCCAGCAAGGTCGCCATCTTCACTGTGCGGCCCTGTGCACAGTGGGGAGTGAGGATCTCAACCACTGGGCACAGCTGTGCCCTCTGCCCTGGGCAAGAGGACCCAGGACGTGCACTCTCCCAGGAAGGCCACCCAGCACCCATCTCAGCACCGCCCGTGCCAGGAAGAGCTGCTGCTGCTTCTGCCCTGAACCCCTCCCCCATTTTCCTCTGCCTTCTCCGCCCCTCCCCTCCTGCTTCACTTGGGGCGATGGCACACCTGTTCAAATCATGTGACCCAGGCCTCGGCAATCACATCCTGTGTCCACTGGCCACAGGCAGCGGATCAGAGAGAGGACTGAGGCCACTGAGGGATCTCCCTGCGACTTTTGCTAAACTGATTTAGAAAGAGATGGTTCCTCTTTTCCCTGGGGTTGCTAAGCTGCTTGGATGTGACCCTGGAGTTATGGGGCCACCTTTGCCACCACAAAGGAAGCGCCGGCCAAAGAAACATCCACAACAGAGAAAAATGGGCAAGAGATGGAGAAATAGAGATTCCTAGTGAACCAGCATGAACGCCTGGATGCAACCATGCCTGAAACTGATGCTACCCAGGATTGCAGGTGTGTGAACAGATCCATTCCCCCGCCTGCTTACATCAGTCGTGAGGTGGGTCACAAAAGAACTCTGATTAATTCAGCTCCTGCCCCCATAAAATCTAGACCCTTATTACCATATCCAGCCTCCGAATTCACAGCCTTTGCTCCCTGATACTGCAGGGACCCTCATTCTGCACAGAGGGACCCCGAACATCGTACCTCATTGGCAAAAATTAAGTAGAAGGAGAGCAAGAAGGTCATGAGCCCCACAAACATTCCACCCGAGGTCTCGCTCAGCCGCTCCAGGAAGCCTGGCTGGGACTTGGTTGTAATTCTGACATGTTCTTTCCTGTTACTCATACTGGAATACTGAAAAAAGACATAAAAAAAAAAAAAAAAAGGAAGAAAATTGGTTTTCAAAAAATAAACTGAATTTTGCTATTTATTTATACTTTTTTTTTTTTTTGGCTGCGTTGGGCCTTTGTTACTGCGCGCCGGCTTTCTCTAGTTGCGGCGAGCGGGGGCTACTCTTCGTTGTGGTGCGCAGGCTTCTCATTGCAGTGGCTTCTCTTGTGGCGGAGCATGGGCTCTAGGCGTGCGGGCTTCAGTAGTTGTGGATCGTGGTCTCAGTAGTTGTGGCTTGCGGGCTGTAGAGCACAGGCTCACTAGTTGTGGCGCACCGCCTTAGTTGCTCCACGGCATGTGGGATCTTCCTGGACCAGGGCTCGAACCCTTGTCCCCTGCATTGGCAGGGGATTCTTAACCACTGGGCCACCAGGAAGTCCTATTTATACTGTTTTTATTGAGTTTTAATTCTACACGTCAAAAATGCACAGACCAGGCTTCCCTGGTGGCGCAGTGGTTGAGAGTCCGCCTGCCGATGCAGGAGACACGGGTTCGTGCCCCGGTCCAGGGAGATCCCACATGCCGCGGAGTGGCTGGGCCCATGAGCCATGGCCGTGGAGCCTGTGTGTCCACAGCCTGTGCTCCGCAACGGGAGAGGCCACAGCAGTGAGAGGCCCGCGTACCGCAAAAAAAAAAAAAAGCACAGACCAAGTGTTTGGTTTTCACAAGTGCATACCCCATGTGTCAAGACACAGAACACGTCTATCACCCAGAAGGCTCCTTGTGCCCCTCTCCTGACAATACTCCCTCTCCCCACCGCCCAGAGGTAACAACGATTTGAATCCGTATCACTGCGTCTTCTAGAACCTGGTATGAATGGAATCACCACACAGCATCAACTCCTTCTGTCCAGATTCTTTGACTCAGCGTAACGCTCTTGAGGGTCATCTATGTCATGGTATCAGTAGTTTGTTTCTTTTTACGGCCAAGTAGAATTCTACCCACGAGCATATCACTTCTGTTGATTCACTCACCAGTAGATGAATACCCTGGTTGTTTCCAGTTCCTAGCTATTATGAATGCTTCTGTGAACACTCATGTACAAGTTGGTGAAATAACGTTTATATTTTAAGGCAGGACACGAAAACTTAAACATAAAATTCTCTGTGTCCGTTTGGGCCTCTTCTCTCCCTCCCTAACGTGCAGTCTGCATCTGCATTACACTGACCAGACCTTCTCAAAGACAGAAGCGCCTGCTCTACCATAAAGCCCATTTTTTTCCCCTTTCTTCTGATGCTAGCAATGTAACTTCTTAAAACAGCAGCGGTCTTTTCCAGCCCTGCAGGGGGTCATGACGACTGCTAGCTTTGTACACATACCTACTTGGACTATGTACCCTTGGAGAACTTTATGTAGATCAGTATGTCATTTTCATTTACGATCCTTTGTCCCAAAAATGTACATGACTATGCCTTCGACCTCTAGCAGGCAAAACAGTTCTCAGAGCTTCTGAGAGTCTGGGTCTCAGAAGTCCTGGGTCATAATCCTGTTTGGCTCAAATAAAATGCCCTTTTTTCTTTGTCACTTGATTATTAGTTGAATTTTCGTGGACATTTGCTTGGCGTAGGTGGCGGGATATCAGAGACAGACAGCAGAGGACACCTGGAGTCCACCCCAAACGGGTGCTTGGTACCAGCACAGGCCCTTGAAGCCCCACTCCTCCGTATTCATCAGGCACTTTGGTGGGTTCTCCTGGAACCTGGACAGCACTGCTTTAAATGACATCCTGAGTTTTACTTGAGCTGTTTTTCTTGGGACTTGGAGTCCTAAGGGGGTACTGGAACATCTCCTAGGCAGGGACCTCGGAGGAGCTTTGGAGTGAACGGGGTTCACTGGTCTCTTAAAACTGACTTAAATTGGAAAGATTATGTATATACGGTCTGAACAAACTGCTAGTGAAATGAGAGACTGAGCATGCTCAGCTCCAAAGTAAAGGGACACTTGTTCCTTCCAGCTACGAGCCGTTCTCAGGCGACTGAGAACCTGGGGGAAGTGTCTGAGGATCAAGTCTCTTAACGTGCATCAGTCACACAGGGAGTCCCACCACAATCACTGAGTAAGTTCTGCTCGCCAGGTGCACATCATAAAGGCTGATCACCCTGCGCTCTGAGCATCCACGGTGGTTTTAGACTGTCGGAGGGAGAAGCCAAGACGCGTGAGAGTCAAGCTGACCCCAGGGGAAGCCCTTAGGGAGACAGACACACATTTGCTCCATCACACCGCCCTCAGAAAGCTGTTTAGATCCCATCTGAATTGGGCTGCCAAATTAATAATGCGAAACCGTGCTCGAAGGCCAAACAGCCCCCTGATGAGCAGCCACTCTGGCTGGCTTCATGAAGAAACCGATGCTTTTGCAAACACTTATCTTAACTCTTAAATGGCCAGGATGGAGCTCTTCTGACATTCCAACACTGTAGAGAAAGCTGGCTTGATAAAACATCTTTTCAAAATTCTGACCCTGAGAGAACAAAAGTATTCCTAGGAGAAAGCCTGAAGTTACAACTCTTATCATGTCCCTGAACTGTAAACACAGCCCACATCGCCTGAGTCTACAACCTTGGCTTAATAGACTCTGAAACTGGGGGAAAAACGGGGGGCAGGGGGCAGGGCGCACAGTGTTTGCAAAGAGGAGGCCGTTGTGAAACTCAAGTAGGAAAACCAGGAGACATCTGTCCGTGTCTGGCTGGATAGGTGCATGGCTGCATGTATGTATGATCCGTCTCTAACTCCAAATGGTATTATCAACATTAATTTGTAAAAGAGGTTTACTTAATTGACTTAAAAGTAAATGCATACAAATCAAATATTTCTAAATGTAATTACACTAGCTCGAAGTTTTAAAGGATCACATAATCTAGGCTTAATCTTTAATGAATGAAAATGAGTCAGAATTGATCGTTTAATTAACAGACATGTCTTTAGAGTCAAACGTTAAGTGTAATACTTTAACTGTACCTAGGTTTACTGAAAGTTAATAAGCTCATGTTATCTCTGTTATAAAATTTGTCAACAAGAAAATTAACTTGGTATGATAATATTTTTGTAAGTAACAAATACGTTTTGGGGTGAACTCGTTAAGAATAATTTTGTTTTATGGTATGTCTATCTAAAAAGTTTCTCCAGATTTTTGGTGACTTGAAACTTTAGTGTTCTGCTAAATTAAGTCAAATGATGGAATTCACTGAATGTCTAGATCATTTTTCTTAATAAGAAATACTAAAACATTAATTGCTAAAGAAGTCTATGTTTACCTACTTTGATCTCTTATTACAGAGAGATTAAATATGTTTGAGACTATTAGTAAATATATTCTGTGCTTTGTTGGAAGACTGAACTATAAAGTGGCATACATTTCTAAAAATTAATTTTAAAAAGGGAACCCTGAGAAAAGAGTTTTATGCATGGCCAGGACTTACTAAGATCAGACTGAATTTAATTAAATGAATGAAATTTAATATTAAAGGTGAAATGGTGAAAACTAGAGTTTGTTTTTTTCTGTTAAGAGGACATTTTTCTTGAAATATTGATCTGCTTTTGATAACAGACTGTAAAGTTTCTTTACCTCTTAAGTAATCTGCTGTAACTTTCTGTATTTGCTTTTGAAATCTTTTATTAGCACTTTGGTTAAGTGAATGAATATTGTTTCACAGTGACTTATGATTCTACTTAGACAAACATTTAAAACCTCTCGATATCGTTCACAAACTTCCTCAAATCAAATTCTAAATGAAGTTCTTTTGGCCTCCAGCTACCTTTGGGAAACTTCAGAAGGCCCCGAAACAGCGCAAAGAGAAACATTTAAACGAATTAGGCTCATTTGGTATGTTAAATTACATGGGAAACATTGTCAAATGAGTAATGATAAATCTTGTTAGGTTATATTATATGGTTAAATATATTACTATAAATATTCTAGAAATTATATGAAGTTCCTAAAATTTGAAATGTCCTGGTATGTTGTCAGTCATGATTTACAGTATCTTAAAATGTTGTACGCCACAGAAATAGCCAAATTTCCTTGATAACTACACTGTAATCAGGTCTTTAACCATGCTTTTAAGTCTTTTGTCATTTATACACAGTTATGCCTATACAGTAACTGATGCTTTTACAAAAATGTTTGTAGATGACTTGCTGTTATGCTCCCAAATTAAATTAGACTCGGTAGCAAAAGGACCTCCTCCTTGTATGAGGGCTATTTCAGCCACGGCTCTCACATAAAGCCACTGAAGAAACAGTAACGGGGTCTCCTTTAACTATTTATGTCCCACACTCGGGCGAGTCTCTTCTAAACTCTCGCCACCCTCAGCACTATTCCATAAGCCAGCTAGCTTCCTATGAAGCATCGGCGCTTTATGCTACCTTGGTTCCATGTAATAACCTCAACCCTGCAACTCTGCTTCCAGCACCACAGGAAGAAAACAACCACAACTGCATTTTGTTAACCAATTATCTTCTTGCTTCCAGGAAGCCCGTATCGATAATGCTGATCTAATTTAATTTATAGATGGTCCTACTTAAGGGATGAGCACGGACATTACTGAGCTGGATATGCAGTAATGCCCACAGCAGACATAACTGAAAACGTTTACTCACCAGGAACAAAGTCAGCACAAGCTGAATTAACTGCCTTAACTCTAGCTAAAGACCAGGTAACACATATTTATACTGACAGTCACCATGCCTCTGGAGTGACACACGACTTTGGTATGCTATGGAAACAATGAGGTTTTTAAGCTCTTCAGGACAACCTAATAAAAAAATGGAAAACAGGGCTTCCCTGGTGGCGCAGTGTTTGAGAGTCCATCTGCCGATGCAGGGGACACAGGTTCGTGCCCCGGTCCGGGAAGATGCCACATGCCGCGGAGCGGCTGGGCCCGTGAGCCTTGGACGCTGAGACTGCGCGTCCGGAGCCTGTGCTCCGCAACGGGAGAGGCCACAACAGTGAGAGGCCCGCG